AATAGGTTTCCCAGTCTCCATGTTTTCGGGTTTTCTGTGGTTTTCAGAGGTTGCCTGGGTTGAGAAACCTCTGGAAACTGAAATGCTCAATTACTGATGTGAACTGATATATTGAGTATGTTTGATGAATGCTAAGCACGTTCTTTTTTTTGATAGACTGTGGAATGGCTGTAAATATCGTCGATCGGAGAAGTTAACTAGTATGATGGCTTGAAGCGTTGCGGTATGTTGCATAGTCAATGTTATTCGTAAGAGCGACGGAAACTTGAAAGCAGAAGGGAATAATCCGATAAAACCATACCACGATCGCACATGTTGAGAGATACCTTCAGCAAGCCTCTAAAGATAACCAACAGCAACATGTGCACTTGGCTGAATCATTCGCAACCCGAAATTGGACGTATGTTTTAGCCTGATCTCTGAAAACACACAATGCCTACTAGTTAAAGGAAGGCGTTAAACTTGATAGCCTTGGGAAACCAATGACGGAATAATGTTCCACTCGTCCTCGACATCAGATGCCATTACCTCCGTGGCTATCAAACATTCGCTGATAAGGTGTACGAAGACGTCGTGAGGGCCCCTCCGGTGCTGCCAAACTCGTATCAAGATGAATGAGTTGGTTCCTGCTCAGTTGTCAATGTGGTGGCGTCGTGGAGAAGCTGAATGACCGGTTCCGCATCGGTACCAACGGAGGTGTGTTTAGAAAGTCTCGACGGACAGGGAGAAGATCTCTGCTTGGCAGTAAGTATCTGGCTGCCAGTGGTGCCTGAAAGATATTGAGGGGTACGAAAGTTAAAATAACAACCGCTGTGGAGTACATGAAGAATTGAATTGGATGGCGGAGTTGGGATCTAATTTGACGTACCTAGCGTATCGGGAGTGTAAGTACGGAGCACAGATGGCAAAAACCTAAGACCGGATATCAGATTTTGGCGTTGAGTTTTTTCAGGGCATTCAGTAGATACGCTATGGAACCATAACAATAGAAATTGACAATTGTCCCAATAAGTCATAGGGCTACCCCAATGGGCCCAATTACAAAAGACATTATGATACTATACATTGGCCCAACAACATGACAATATGTATATTTGATTGTTGGGCCCAACGACGGTGCCACAGTCCAAGTTAAGGGTTTATAGATTGGCCACATGGCTTAAATGGGGGTAATTTTGGCTGTTGATATATGACGGTATTAAGGTACCATTGATAGTTGGGCCCAATGAAGGGAAATCGTTAAGGGAGATGGTTGGGCCCAATGGCCCAATTATTAAGCTACGGTTGATGGTTGGGCCTAATGTAAGGTATTTGTTAAGGGAACAGGTTGGGCCCAATGGTAAAATTTCAATGCTATGGCTTGTAAGTTGGGCCCATGCCATGATATAGGCTATAGTTCATAGGTTAGCCCAATGATTATTTGAATTTTGCGGGTGTGGGCTTTGGTCCGGTAAACCCGCAGGTCTGCTCCTGTTCCATTGGACCCATGGCCGCACAATTGTGCAATTACACCCGCGGGTTGGCTATTGTGCAGTTACCCCCATGGGGTAGCTCATGTTCCGTTACCCCTGCAGGTTGCCATGCGGGCCAGATCATGTTCCGTTACCCCCGCGGATCAACAATTGATCCATTACACCCTCGGGCTGGCTGTTGTTCATTACCCCCACAGGGCAGCTCTTGTTCCGTTAGCCCCGTGGGTCGCCACACAGGCCAGATTATGTTCCGTTACCCCACGGGTCGACAATAGGTCCATTACACCCACAGTATCTTATTCCGTTACACCCACGATGTCCAGCTCTTGTTCCCTTAGACCTGCGGAACCTTCTTCCGTTTGGCCCGCGGGTTTCCAATTACAGCCATGGACCATTTGTGGCTCCCCCGTGGGTCTCTGATTACACCCATGGATTACCTGCTGCTCGTTACACCTGTGGCCACCCACGGACCACCTGCTGCTCCTTGACCAATTGGCCCTCTTCCATCAGCCCCCCACCCGTGGGCCACGTTTGCAGCTGGCCTGCAAAATGGACCAACAATTGTGCCTTTACATTCACAGACCGTTATTCCGTTACACCTGTGGACCAGCAATAGTGCCATTACATCCACGGATGAGCTCTTGTTCCATTACACCCACAGGCTGTGCTCTCATCCGCGGACCTGCTCTTGTTCTGTTACCCCCGCGGACCAACAATTCTTTTATCCGTGGACCGACGGATTACCTACCGCTCCATTACATCTGCGGACACCCACGGACCACCTGCTGGTCCTTAAACAATAGGCCCTCTTCCATCAGCCCCCCACCCGTGGGCCACGTTTGCAGCTGGCCTGCAAAATGGACCAACAATTGTGCCTTTACATTCACAGACCATTATTCCGTTACACCCGTGGACCAGCAATTGTGCTGTTTCATCCACGGACGAGCACTTGTTCCATTACACCCATGGGCTGCGCTCTCATCTGCGGACCTGCTCTTGTTCTGTTACCCCCGCGGACCAGCAATTCTTTTATCTGTGGACCGACGGATTACCTACCACTCCGTTTCTGCGGACACCCATTGTTGCTGTTGGACCCATGGGCCAACAGGTCTTCTGTGGCACCCCTGGGCCACACCATTTGTTAAGCCCATTGGTCCATTACATCCGCGGGCCACCAGCTAGAGCTCCACGGACGTGAACATCTGGATTTGTATTTAACATGCTGAATGTCATTGCCCCGAAAATGTGGCTGAAAGAATGTCCGGATTTGTGATTAACTTGGTGAACATCACTGATCCGAAAATGCGGCCGAAAAAACATCCGGATTTGTATTAGTGCAACAATGTCCGAAGTTTCAGATGTAATTTTGACATGGACCAGACAATCCCCCTTGGAATGCTCTGAAGTCCGAAATTTTTTATATTACTTCCATCCGGATATAATAATCCCCATAGACTGCACCAATGTCCGAAATTTTGGATGTAATTTTGACAGGGGCCAGACAACCCCCATGGAATGCTCCAATGTCTGAAATTTATACTTCAAGTACCTGAAAATGCGGTCACAAAAACATCCGGATTTGTATTTAACATGCTGAATGTCATTACCCCTAAAATGTGGCTGGAAAAATGTCCGGAGTTGTAGTTGACTTGGTCAATGTCACTGCTCCGAAAATGCGGCCGAAAAAACATCCGGATTTGTATTTAACATGCTGAAT